TGATTACTTAGAAATGACTTCGACACAAAAGAAATAGAGGTTGACCAAAAGAAATAGAGGTTGTCCAAAACAAAGATGGATAGATGAAATTAACGACGGGGCTGGATCACCAAGGCCAAAGATAGAAAAAAATTGAATTAAAATTTAGGAGGCCTGTACTCGCTCAGGGGTCCTTAATCGGAATCGGATAAACGGAACCTTTTCTACAAGATAAAAGAGTCTTTAGATATATTTTAGTCCGACGAAAGAAACCACAGTAACACGATGAAATTACGTTTAGTTGTTTACAAAATTTGTGACGTCACAATCATGGTGGACCACGATTTTAGTGTTTAAAAAGGATAGACTAACAAACTATTTTTCAAATTAAATTACTAAAATGTTATGAAGTGAAATCTAAATATTTAGATTTCTCATACCAAAAATTATAAGAAATCAATAATTGTATAGTACAATTTGACATGAGTCAATTAGCATATTACAATTATCTAGGTTAGTGAAAAAACTAAATCGTAAGGCAAATGAGTTTAGTGTTATAAAAAAATCCACGCGGACCAGACCGCAGACGGGACTCGAACACGTACCCTTCGCTATCCGGGCGAATGCACTGACCAATTATGCTACCGCGGTAGCATAATTTATTTTTATAGAATTTAGACGTGGCCGTCAGTGCCACGTCGAAATTCTTCTAGCCATTCTTAAGCCATTCTTTTTCTTTTCTATTTATATCTTCTTTAGATTTAAATGCACTGACCAATTATGCTACCGCGGTAGCATAATTTATTTTTATAGAATTCCGACGTGGCCGTCAGTGCCACGTCGAAATTCTTCTAGCCATTCTTAAGCCATTCTTTTTCTTTTCTATTTATATCTTCTTTAGATTTAAACATCAAGCAGTTGCATGCTTAAAAAATAAAAATTATGAATTTAGTGTTGTTTAAAAAGACACTTTCTAATATTAAGTGTAAGTGAATCCAATTCATTAAAATAGCTGATATAGGACAAAATATATAGATATCCAACCCAATGTTACACACCATGGCCATGGAGCCCTAGAACTTGGAACCTTACTCTACAACACATATAATACCACCAAAAGGTAATTAATTTCACGGTGGGCTTTCAGCATTTCTCTTTCATCATATTATAGTAAAAAACTTGATTTGTCACCATGTTAGTTATCTCATTAGCCCGACTGGCCATGTCCAATTACCTATAGGCTGACTTCATTTCCTGTACCCGCGTCGCCAGCCGAGCTGGCACGTCGCCAACGCCCGCGGTACCAACGAATCCTACGGTTATATTACTACGGTTTTTAATATTATATATCATCAATTAACTTTGACGCAACTGCTTATCCTAGCTAAAATATATATGTGTATGTATATGTATATTCTTTTTGTTGAACTTAAGAGAGAAGTGCAAAAGAATTACGTTCTCCTATTTGACTTCATTACAACGTTGTTCTATCGATTCTATTTTAATTTTAATATCACAATCATTAGTTACTATTGCTACTATTTGAGAAGGTCGCCCTTTAGCTTGACTTTTTTGAGTGAGATAAAATGCCAATTAATTTGCCTCGTGAAAAATTTTTTTAACAAGCTAAATCTATCATTTCGACTTTCGGAACATTTGCTCAAGTGAGGCTGTTGTAGTTTAACTTTAATCAATTGAGGCTTAAGGCTATTGTAGTTTTTATTTATTTATTGTTTCTTTTGTAACAAAGCAATAACAAAAATAGGCTAACTAGGTCCCTGCCTCAGCATAGTGCCACAGCGACGCCAGGGCCGCTGCAGCGCGATCTTTTTCGCGTCGTCTATCTGCAGCCTAATGCCTTGAACAGGGCTAGTAAAAATTAGACAATTCTCCTGCAACGTTCAGATTTTGAGGAGCTCGATGGCGCAAGTGGTTACGATCGTTGAAGTTAAGCAACTTTCGCAGTGGTCGGTCATTGGATGGGTGACCAAAAATTTACTATCGAGACTAGAGCTTCTCCGTGCATCGGAGGGCACGTTAATATTCTAGCAGGGCCTAAGGTTGACGAGACTATGAAACTATGACTATAGACTATAACTAATAGAGTAGCCAGATGAAGTTTCATCCTTGCCTCCATTTTTAACAGTTTTGCAGCGTTCAAGAAAGGAGTCACATGTGAACGAGGAAGTACATAAAAACAGAACATAAATATGCTCCGACTTAACTACATCAGTAACCCACGCACACACGCACACGTCATTAAATAAACATTCAATCGAGCGAGCGAAACAGAACTGTACTGTCCCTAGCACGAACCAATATCGAATTCGTATCGTTTGCGGGTCGGAAATGTCATTGTCAAATGTGTACTGATTTTTAGTTCTCGTTACGTGCTTTGTGCCGCTGCTGTTCACGTTTCCATACAAATTTTGACATTGACATTTCGGTTTGCAAACTATTCGAATTCGATAATGGTTCGTGCTAGGGGTACTGTACGCTTCAAAGCAGCGCGAGTGAAACGGCGAGTCTGTGTCCGAGTCCGCAAGCATGAGCTGTGGTGTTGTCCTTTTCTTGATAACAAAATGGCGATTACAGAATAGACGCAATATTGTTATATTGAGTGCGCATGCAACGTGTTTGAATGTCCAATAGCGACTAAAGCGAATTGTGTTCATGCACCACAGTTTAAGCGGATCACTTTTGAGCCGCAAGTGGCGTATCTTCCTTTTTTGTTATAATCTAAGATTGGATCTCGTTAGCGACAGGGTGACCGAAACATTGACAACCTAATATAAATAGGGCCCTCCTATTGTGGGGTATCTGAATCACCCCCATGTATCTTCCTCGACTTTTTATAGTTTTCGAGTTACGAAGTTTTTTTTGGTATTTTCGGAAATTTTGACCTGACCTGAAAAAAGAAAGAAGAAAGAAAGAAAACTGTTTTTATTGTTGACAGCACATAACATACACATAAAATACAAAAATACATTAAACTTATAGTAAAACGAAACGAACAAGTAAAATCAACAAACAATAAAAAACAGCTACAGAATGTGTATTTTATGTGATGCCAACACTGGATATGGCTCAGCATACACAACAGGTAAAATACCTGCTGCACTGGTATTCTGCCATACCCAGAGCAGTGACATCACAGAAGTCAGAGAGAAGAAGGATCACAAAGAAGGAGAGTCATATTTTTTTGCAACTGAATCCTTGTGAGTTGTACTTTAAGCATAAAATAATTAACCTTGTAACTTTGATGAAAGTTATGAATATGTTAATCCAAAGTGAAAAATAGTTAATATGCCGGCCACCCTGAATATATATATTGTCGTGTGACGGTTATGACGCATTTTTGTATCTCTTTTCACGAAGAAGAAACACCTTATCCCGTAAACACCTTATGATTTGTTTTTCTTTTATTTGCCTTTTTATAACGCTAGACTGCAATTTAGGTGATTGCTTACGTAATAATGACGGGGTATTTAGTTCTTCAGTTAGATTATCAAGAAAATAATGGACAATTATTTTTTCTTTTGTCTAAAAATTACAAAGATAAAGCGCGTCATACTTTGGGAGTAGGGGCTCGCGACCATGTCCCTTTTTATTAGTACAAATTGTACGCAAACGTGGCGTTACTTGACATTTCAAATCATTATATCTCTGTCAATGACGCATAATATACAGACCCTTAGCACGAACTATTATCGAATTCGAATCGTTTGCGAGTCCGAAATGTCATTGTCAAATGTGTACTGCCTTTAAGTTCTCGTTACGTACTTTGTGCCACTGCTGTTCAAGTTTCCATACAAAATTTGACATTGAAATTTCGGTTTGCAAACTATTCGAATTCGATATTAGTTCTAGCTAGGGGTACAGGTTATACGCCAACAATAATGCATTTTAAAATGACACAATTTCCCATGGTTTCACACTCATTCATAAAGCAGATTACATTCGCCCTTTAGCTTCAGCGTATCAACGGTGTCAGCAACTGTCAAAATGAGTAATACAAAAAAAAATCTTTTCTTTTCTTTAAAACTGTACTTTCGAATAAAATAACACGTTTGTCGGTACTTAATTCCATTATATGTAATTGAATTTCGCGGTAATTTGTAGGGGAGGGGGAGGGGGGGCTCCCCCCGACCCCCCCGCCATAAAAGATTTTTGGCGGAAATGCAGTTTTTTTTTTACCTAACCTAAAAATTCATTAAATCTGTTTTAAGTAGTGAAATTTCAGGGGGATAGGTATTAGGGAAGACCCCTCAGAGGGAAGGGTCGTTTTTTTTACAGAAATGATAATTATAAAAAATTAGACGGGTTTTAAAGGTAAAACTGTACTTCCAGGGCCTAGAGGTGATATTTGATTTTTTTGTAGAAAAAGTCTCTATTAACGAATTTTTCTTTCTGGCGCTTCGCCGGCCGCTGCCGCGGCACGCTCGCTTCGCTCGCTCGGCTCGCGCGTTAAGGTCACAACACTAACCTAACCTAACCTAGTGTGAAGTATCACCACACAAGTGGCTCATTAGAGTCCAAAACTCGCACTACACTCGACTCTTCAGGCGATGGGACAGCAGAACTCGAGGCCGAAGGCTTTGAGGATGCCATGGTAGTCAGACGATGTTAATATCAACAGGAGTACGAAAAAGCTCTCAACTGCGACGAACACAAATACTGACTGACAGATCTCATTAATGGCGGTAAATTATCACATTTTGACAATAGTACCAACATAATAAACTTATATTTACCATAGACAACGAGAATCATGTTATTTTTGCATAAAAAAATGGCAGCACTGATCAAAATTGCTGTCAAAATTGACTCATAACCTACAAAAATATTAATTTTCAATAATTTTTTTCTCGAGTTCTATTCGTTTCCGCCTAAAAAGATTTCGTGTACGTGTTTTTAATAGTTAATACTTTGCGTGACAAAAATTTCAGCTTGCAACTCAATTACATATAATGGAAAGCTGAGCCAACTTTTTTATTACTTAACAGGGACCAGATTATTACCTTTTCGCCGTTGTTGTCCGGAAGTAACAAGGAGCCGTGGCCAGACCTCCCGGGGCAGATTATTTTCAGGTCTGGGAATAAATACAATACCTTAAACAATGATGTAGTACCGCTACATATTATGTAGATATTAATACGTAAAATTAAAAAGGAAAAAATGGTAAAAATTAAACCTATTTATTATGAATTTCAGTTTTGCTTGTTTTTTGCAATCTCTTTAGTTTTAATTCAAAACGTGCAATGTTCAGTGATAGTAAAAACAAATTATTTACATGTAAAGATCGGGTAGTTTAGTGCCTTAATATTTTTGTTATGAAATTTTCGGATAATAATTGTTCCTTTCGAGTAAAATCCCACTGTTGATATAATAACTGTATCCGCTGTACGCGAAGTTATGACGAAATACGTCCTAAATTGCCCTAACCCAGAGGAAATAAATATAACATGTGAAAAGAGGAATAAAAACCTGGTGATAGTCCGTGGCACTGCAATCCACTCCAATCCAAAACCAAACCACTTCATCGCACCAGTTCACAACACACAAATAGATATAATAAAGTTACCTCGAAGTAATTATAAGTTATATACGAAACACCGTTAATTATCAATAATATGTCTCGACCGATCCGTACTCAAGCCGAGTGAAGGAGGAGCAGAATTGTAGGGTAGACAATATTAATAAATAAAATTGACGTCATATCTACCCACATAAAACTTGAACCGAACGATAACACTCATAACATTGTTATCGAAATTTTATTACATTTTATAGATGAGAAGGAGCTCGATGGCACGGCTTGTTATCGCATGGGCCACATTAGAAGGGTGACCAAAAATTTTATATATCAAGCTCCTCCGTGCTTCGGAAGGCACGTTAAGTCATTAGTCCCGGCTGCATTATTAGCATCCACCAATCCGCACTAGGCCCACGTGGTGGGTCACGGCTCAATGTTCCCATACCACCCATACGGAAGAAGTGGGGACATTAATAAGCTGATGACGATAATATAAAAATCGTTCTATACATCTCGGAGTAATGCACGAACACTAAGACATATTGACAAATTCATAAAAAATACATTACTTTAGTACGTTACGTACGTTAGTACGCGAACTTTATTTATTTATTGACGTTTCGCAGACTTAAGGTCTGCATCGTCAAAATATTCATTATTCTGTCGATGCAGACCTAAAAAGGCTTTATTTATGTAGGCGACTTTATTTATTTATCTGAAAAGGTTGCGAAACGTCAACAAATAAATAAAGTTCGTGCATTAACCCGTTAAAACTAGTTTTATTTAATGAGTGATGTGCGTGAAAACCTAGGAAACAAACACATTACTCACGCCAAATACTCCTTTCTCCGTTGAACACGAGGTAGTCGGAGGTGGCGCTAGCGATGCCTTCATCGAGAGCGAAGCCTACGTTGAGCTTCTTAAAGTCTTCGGTCTTCACAAACTCGCCCATACCTTTTCCACCACCAACTTCCTCTTCTATTTACAGGAATAACAAATATTTTCACTTTTGAGACTGTTTTCGTTGATAATATTTGAAAGTAAAGTAAAACATGTAAATAAATCAAAGCTTTCATTGACAATAATATTGTAATTAAGCCAAATGATGTTCGATAAAAGAACGCAACTACCACTTCTTACATTATTTTGAAAGGTATAATGGTAATGATCATCTCTGCCAAAGCGCATCAAATTTCATCCCGGGAGTCTTTACTTATTTTAAGTTAAATAAAACAAGTACTATAACGAACGAACATTAATGAAACAAGGGATTTAATTTAGTTAGTTCGACCATACATAGAATGCTCAGGTATTATAGGAGTACTTCACAAGGTGCAAGGATGACTCCTTCCTTATGTTATTCTGCCGCGCTAGAGTAAATCCAAAAATCCCCCCTTGGGGAAAATGGGGGTTGGCTTTTTCTCAAACAGTCTGTTCGTTATATGAAATTGTCTTCTACGTAAAACGGAGCGACCATAAATCTTCAAACAACATAGCGAATCAAAACTTGTCCACGCTTCGGAGATAACAAGATTCTAGTTCATCTATATTAATTCACAAAACCTCTAATCGTGATCCAATGTCCGAGTCAGTAAAAAATCAAGCAAGTGACAGGGAGGGAGCGCACAATCACAACGAAGTAAGACGAAGGACTGCATATGAGTCGACAAGTTGCAACTGCAAGTGCTTCAAGCCCCGTACCACTACCCCGTAAACCATTTTATATATTTATTTATTTACTCTTTATTGTTTTGTTACAAATGGCGGACTTAATGCCATCTAATATTAGCCTATCGTTGGTTATTTAAGGAAACATAGTTTATAGTTTGAAGTCCGTTTATTGAGTGCAATAAAACATTACAAAATAATTGAATTAATAATATTGCTTACTTGCTAAAACTATCTACGTAAATAGCGGATTGCGACATGACCTAATTACGTTTCCGATAGGTATACATTACAACTCCCTGGAAAAAGTCCTGTTCACCCTTCCCTTTTAAAGGAAAAAAAAAATAAAATTAGATAGAACAATTAAGTCATGTGGCTTAATGTATGTTAAGTATATTATAAGGCTAATTCCATAGTACTTAAAATTATAGTAACATAAGTTTAGTTATAAAATTAATCTAGTTATAATTATTATTTTTAAGTGTAATACAATTTCGTATTATTCTTATGTATAAGATATTCCTTATTATCCTTCAAGATTTTTACATTGGGTGACACTTCTTCAATAACTACAAATTGACCATTATAAATGTTTTGGAGTTTATCTCCTGTTTGATTTTTCACTAAAATAAGGTCACCTTTTTTATATGTAATAGGATAAGTACATTTGTCATACAATAATTTTCTTTTCAACTTACTAGAAAATAAATTATTTTTTGCATCGTACTGTGCTCTCTGTAATCGATACTTCATCTCTTTAGGGTAATCATTATAATTCTACAATGGTTCTATTGACATTCCAAAGTCTGAAGGCAGTTTACAAAGTTTTCCAAACACTAATTCGAATGGAGTGTATTTTGTTAGTGTATGTACCGTAGTATTATAAGAAAATGTCCAAAATGCTAACCAGTCGCTCCAGTCTAAAGTGTTCCTATCACACTGTATTCGCAGATATGCTCCTAATGACTTATGACTATTTTCTAGAGAACCTATTGTTTCGTGGTGATAAGCCGTTGAATTTAATTTTTCTATATGTAATATTTTGCAAATATCAGTCATAATATTAGACATAAATTCTGTGCCTCTATCACTAATGATTTCCTTAGGGATTCCATATCTTAAAATAAAATTGGTTACAAAAACTCGTGCTACAGATTCGGAATCTTTACTGGGCAAAGGATACGCTTCTACAAATTTAGATAAATCGCATTGCAGCGTTAAAATGTATTTGTTATTATTAATATCAACTGGCAATGGACCCATGATATCTAAAGCTATCCTTTCAAATGCAGAGCTTGCAGTATTTGTGATAACCATTGGCTCCTTAATACTATGATTCGAAAATTTATTAAATTGACAGTGACTACATTTTTTTGACGTATTCTATGACGTCATTAGTCATTCCTGGCCAATAATAGTATTGTTTTAAATTATTCAACATTCTGTTTACCCCTGCATGACCGCTAGTGGGCAACATATGAAAGTCGTTAAGTATAATTTTCTTATCCTCGTAGCTACTTATTCTTATCACATCTCTAGTAATTAAAATTTTTGGTACCTTCTGATGCAACTTTTTCATATAACTTGCAAGTATTTTTATATTAGTTGCATTTTGCTTAGTTTTAATGATTAAAATCTCATTAATATTTTGTTTTTCACAAAAAGATCCTAAATCTCTCGCTAACACCTGTGGGGTAGATAACGATCGAGTATCTAGGTATATAGTACACTGTGAAGGCACATAAATACAAAATTTCTTATCAGAGAAAAGACAATCCGTGTTCTTATTTATTTTTTCACTAGTGAAAACTAACTCTGTCTTGGGTTTTTTAAGAATCTCTACAATCTCAGGTTGATCAGGCCTGCTACTGGTAGATAACTCTTCAGTCAAATTATTTTTATAGACCGGTCTTTAGACTCTAGCTTTTTACTTTGTGCTCGAGTAAGTATCGATACAACTTGTTCATTAAGTGATTTTAATTCCTCACACGTCATCGTAATCGGGAGTCGACTTAATGCGTCTGCAGCTGCATTATTTCGACCCGGGATATACACGATCTCAAAATCATACTCTTCGAGGTAGAGCCTAAACTTAGTTAGTCTACTGGACGGATCTTTTAAACTAAATAAATATACGAGCGGTTTGTGGTCTGTAAGGATTTTAAACCTTCTACCGTACAGATACGGTCTAAAATGCCTTACAGCCCATACTATAGCGAGCAATTCTAAATCGATTATAGGATATCTGCTTTCGGCTGGCGATAAATTACGACTTGCGTAAGCGACAACATGACCATTTTTGTTTGACAAAACGGCGCCTAATCCTGTTTTACATGCGTCTGTACGTAACTCAAAAATATTATTTTCCGAAAAATCTGGATACTGTAATACGGGTGGGGACATCAAAAGGGATTTTAATTGTTGAAATGATTTTTCGCATTCGGTTGTCCACTCAAATAAAACATCTTTTTTGCATAATTTATTTAACGGAAAAGCTATATTTGCAAAATTAGGTATAAATCTCCTATAATAATTAGCAAAGGCTAGGTATCGTTTTACGTCGTCCGCGTTCGAGGGAACCGGATACTTGCGCAATGTCTCTATTTTGCTATCGTCGGGAAAAATACCTTGCGACGTTATTTTGTGTCCTAAATAAACAATTTCGGTTTGTAAAAATTCGCATTTCATTGGATTTAATTTTAAATTGACTTTTCGTAAACGTTCTAATACAGTTACTAGGTTTTTATTGTGATTATCTATGCAATTTCCAATAACGACGCAATCATCTAAATAAATAAAAGCTTGATTATAATTGATACCTGACATAGCAATTGTCATTAATCGCGAGAAAACACTAGGAGATGTTTTTAATCCCATAGGAGAACGCTTCATCTGATACATTTTATCAGTTGTAAAGGCTGTATATTTTCGGGATTCTGGGTCCAATTCAAGTTGGTACATTTTATCTACACTAAATGCAGTATATTTTCTTGAGTTTTCGTCTAAGCATAATTGGTAATAACTTTGTGATAAGTCTAGTTTTGAAAAATAAATACTACCTGATAAGGAATCTAAATATCGGTTATATTTGGCAAAGGGAATTTATCATCTTTTATTCTGTTATTAAGTTGCCTATAATCAATAACTAATCTCCATTTCTTTTCGTTTGACCTATTTGTTTTTTTTGGAACTAAAAGAACTGGACTGGACCATTCCGAAATTGTTTCCTCTATTATATCGTTGGCTAACATATCATCAATTTGTCTTTGTACCTCTTGCTTTAGCGAATGAGGTATTCTATAGGGCTTTATATAACAAGGAGAGACATTATCCTTTAAGGATATGCTATGAGTCATAACATTGGTAGTCGATAATTTATCTCCTGGAAGATGAAAAACATCTGCGTATTTCGCACAAATATGTTCGATACTACGTCTTTCTTCCTGATTCATATTTGACAAATTCAATAACTCAAACAATAATTTTACTCTACTCACACTATTCTGTTCTTCCGAAATACAACATACGTCAAAATAATTCAAGTCATAAATAGTTATATTTTGAAAATCATATTCTACTTCATTACTTGTAGTATTTAATATTCTCACGGGAATGCGACCATTATTTGGTTTCGCAATTAATCCAGCTACGAAAACTCCTTGCTGAATCTCTTTTGATAAAACAACGCAATCGCTAGAAAATGATGTAGGAATAAACCTTATTACTTCGCACCGCGGCGGAATCAAATGTCTGTACCTAGCGTTATACGATATTTCAATAGAAACATTCATGTTATTGTTAGTTAATTGTAACACACTATTTTTATAATTTATTATCGCATTATAGCGTTTTAAGAAATTATCTCCTAAAATACCATTAGCTGAGCAAGACATATTTTTAAAAACGTAAAACTTTTCTCTAAATACTATATCATTATAAACTAAATTTAAAAAAATATAACCTTCCGATTCTAATCTTCCACTTACTCCTTTAATAGTTATTCTATCATAACATAAGTATTTTAATAACTGAGGATACTTACTAAGCCATTCATACCTTAATACACAGAGACTTGCTCCACTATCGACTAAAAGATTTATTATCTCGTTACATACAAGGAAAGTTACTGTACTACTGTTATTAAAATTAAAAAAATGGTTGCCTGTAAAGTCGGTTTTACGGGCGAAGATTTTACGTGACAACGTCTTTTTCTCGGTAGAATATTTATTGATATGAATATAATTAAATTGCACAATAGGAACAAGGAATTGAATGAAAATAAGAATTGCACAAATTTTAACTATAGAAATATATTTTGTTTACTAAAACATTGTACATGTAAACTTAAACTTAACACGAGAGACTCATCGTAACGTTACCGAGCGTTACACTTTTTCATAAGTGACTCCCAGCCGCAACCTAATTTAAGACGTTGTCACGTCAAAATAAAATTATCTGAATTAACGAAAAAAATCACTTGTCGTGTCATAATTAACATTTTGATTATTAGTACTAGTGGAGGGCAACTCGTTTTTTACGGGTGCCATCTCCTCAACGACAGTGTGGCGTATTGGTGCAGCTGATCTACGTGACCTTGTGCTATATGATCCACGTGCACGACCTTGTTGATATATTGCACCGCGCGGTGAGCTGTAAGAGCCGCGTGGTGTATTGGGTAAGGGTTTCGTATTATAGCGCTTGTAATTATTTGAATAATTACCGCGTGCTCTCATAGTGTTATTACTATTACGATGACAATAATTGCTACCACGATAAAAGGCTTTACGACGACTGACATTCATTACCTCGAATGATGAAGACAGGGACTGCTCATCCATGGCAGTTCTGATGGCTTCCGGCAAGGTCTCGAACTGTCTCGATGCTATAATAGTACTAAGTCTACGGTCATACAAACCATCTGCGAAGCGCTTGATAGCGATTCTCTCATTAATTAGTTTTAAAACTTTGTATGAATTAGGATCACCACTAGACTGAGCGATTGTTAAGTTGACAAATAAATTTTCTAATTCTGAACCAAACGATTCGATAGATCGATTGCCTTGTTTACTCTGATGCAACTTCCATTGTAAAGCGACTTCTGATTTTTTTTGAATAAGATGTTTGCGCATGTCATTTAAAAGATTTTCAATTGTATCGTAAGTTGAACTCAGCCGTAACTGTGCGCTCGGTGAAAGTCGAGTTTTTAAAACAAATTCAATTAATTGACTTTTAGATTTGTCCGAGATCATCTTACTGTACAATTCTATACTATTTATAAGGGAATTAGTAACAGATTCTTGTCCCGTCATTACAGGCAATAAGGCTATGGCAGTTTTTAAATCAAACTCGCAATTATCACTCATTTTGACTGTTTCACTTTGTTTCTGCTCAGAAATTGATAACTCTATAATTTTATTAAAAATTTGATGAATTTCATTTATTATTTTATGGATGGAAGTTATATCACTAGTAGAAATCTGTTCAGTTTCAATTTGAGAATGCAACACAGACAAAATACTCTCCAACTTTGAATACAAAACTTTTGCCTCTTTAACTTTTTTCAAACCAAGGTCCTGTTGCCTTCCTTTAGGTCCTAATTTAACTAAATAATCTCTAAGATATACTAATGATTTATGTAGTTCATGAATTTCAAATACTACACCTGACATAATTATCTAAACTAAAAACAATAAAAATATTAAGTACGTGCTTCATAACGATAAATTGAAAATAAAAATAGTTAAAAAAAAAATATGATTACATACTTTTTAATTTGGTTGTTCAAGATACACCTTTTTACTAAGATTCTTCCGAGGGACTGGGGCAGGCGAGCTGGCTGCAGTGGTGCTGATACGGTGATATGACTGGCTGCCGATGACCGATGATGACCGACGTTGGCCGGGCTGAATCCTGGACTTCTCTTGTTAAACTTCTTAGACTGCGCTGGTAGTGAGGTCAGCTCGTGAGATGGTGGCTATGTTGTTCCTGTTGAGCTCTCGTTGTATGGTGCGAACAAAATGTTTATTGCATTTCTTGAAAATGTAATAAATTGCAGCAAACAGGATTATGCAGACGGTCGCTCCGATCAAAATTTCTAGGATAGCCAATTTTTCGCTCTGGGATTGGGATGCTGTTGCCGAAGCTGCTCCATTTGCGTTTTGAGCTATCACAACTTGTTCTTTGGATGCCGATTTTCCCATTATCTGTTTCTTCTGTAGTCTTAATTCTTCTGAAGTTTATCTTGTATTCTTGAAAAATACGGATTCTGAATTTTTGGAAATAGGTTTGGTCTTCTTTTGACTGAGTTCTTGGTGGAAGTATATTACACGATTCGAATGGCAAGGGTCGCCATCTAATATTAGCCTATCGTTGGTTATTTAAGGAAACATAGTTTATAGTTTCAAGTTCGTTTATTGAGTGCAATAAAACATTACAAAATAATTGAATTAATAATATTGCTTACTTGCTAAAACTATCTACGTAAATAGCGGATTGCGACATGACCTAATTACGTTTCCGATAGGTATACATTACAGCCACATGGCATTCTCTACCAGTCAACCATCGGGCTAAGCAGAGACATTATGCGGTTTAATAGTAAATTAAAGCATTATAGTTAAAGAGAAATAAAAACTAAATTAAATTCATAAAACTACATGTTACTTAATATAATAATTAACATCTATAAATATACCTAAATAACTACATATATATAACATATTTATATTTTTATAATACGATAAATACATGTTTACATATTTATATATACGATAAATACCTACACATATACAATAATAAACACCACTATACTTACTTAAGAATACTATAATAAAACAGAAAATAACTATTACAAATAATATTAATAATAGTCGGACTGACCAGAAGTTGGTTCATAATATGGAAATTGTTATGACTTCTTAGCGAAATGCTGACGTACAAGGACCCTGAAAGCAGGTTTACTGGGTGCTCTTCTCACGCTCTCCGGAAGACCGTTCCAGAGACGAATAGCTTGGAGACAAAATGATTTTGACACGAAGCTGGAGCAGTGGGAAGGAATGGACAAAAGAAGGTTTTCAGATGAACGAAGAGGACGAGAGTGAGTGGAACTCAAAAAGTGAAATTTGGACTTCAGGTAACACGGAGCATGAGGGTCAAAAAGAATTGAGAAAAGAGTTGTGAGAATTCTTAGATCACGACGGTTTGAAAGAGGCGGCCAATTGAGTTCACAGCGAAATGAAGTGATATGATCATATTTCCGTAGACTGAAAATGAATCGAATACAGCTGTGAAAAGACCGCTCCAATTTACCAAGAAAATCTATATTTAAGTCAGGATAGCACACATCAGCATAATCTATGGATGGTAGGACAAGAGCCTGGATCAAAGAGATTTTTGTGTGAACAGGGAGAAAATTTTTATATTTATAGAGGGCACGGAGCATATTTGTGATTTTGAGGTGTTACAGTCAGTGCAAGCGCTGGATAGTCGGCAGAGTTTGCCATAATATATCTGGTTATATAGTACGATATGGCACATTATTATGGTTACTAATAATATAAAATTAAAGTACTATTAAATGAATTTATTTAGCTTATTAAATATGCCCATGATTGTGTTATATCTTTCGATTACCAGGATATTTTTTTACGGTGTCATAATAAAAAGGGCAATTTTTTCATAGATCTTTCGATTCATACTAATAACATTGTTGGCGGAGCTGGGTGTTTTTTGCCCATTGTCCTTTGAAAACTGTCTCAAACCCTTTCGTCCTTCAAAAGACTTATGAAGCTGTTGGTAAGCGGCGACATCTGCATGCATTCAACTGAGTAATCCACACCGTACTCGAATTTGAGCTCATTGTCTCTATGAGAATTTGTCCCTAAAAAGGCATGTGCTTCAGAAGAAAGGAAGAGAAAGCAAGGAAAGGCTGATTTTATGAAATTAAAAAAGTAAAAGAACTTGGGTTTTTCAACGTACCGGGTACAAAACTTAGATGAACAGTCTTCTTCAAACTGATCCCTTTCTCCTTTAGCCTCCTGACGGCTTCGATGTACTGGATGGCAACAGACTTCATATCCTGGACACCTCGCCCGTACACCACGCCGTCCACGAGACGAGCCTCGAATGGAGGGTATTTCCAGCTGTTCTGTAAAGGAAAAAAATATAAGATACCAATGTACTTATTTATATTTATTTTAACAACATTAAGAGAAATTGTCGTCATTGGCAGGGGCTCATAGAAAAACTCATAAAGTACTTAATCGCAAATTCCCAATACTCAACATCGAACAACAGCGTTTTTATATATTTATATACTGATGCACAAATGATTTTTATAATGACTTTTTGTGGAAATTTGTTCTGCCTCATAAATCCTAGTTATTATTAAGATAAGAAAATTATTTGATTATATAGAGAAAGTAATTGTAACTGTGTCATAAGTTAGTTCAACTAATACTATTGATGTTCAATCTACGAGTATTATAAACAGTGAAACTTCAACAGAACAGAGCTCAATCTTTAATTAGATCCCAAATCCGTTAGTTTAGTTACCAGCTAGTTGACTACCAGATAAAATCAACATTGAGTAAGGCGTCGTTTTCACCGGCAGTGCTATTGTGTAAAATTTTCACATCGAATCCGCGCATGAAAATTTTACAGAAAAGCACTGCGGGTCGGTGCGTGTTAATTTCGTTTTCGTTTCTATACCGAATCTGTACATATTTTTTATCGAAAACCGCTTCCAGATTCAGTTATGTGTGAGCAAATGCTCATAACTTGAACAAACTTGGTTCTGATTGTGTCGTTGCTCTCGGGTGTGAGCGCTGATTGGTTTGATTTTTATGTCGTTTCGTTTGATTGGCTATTATCTATTAGGTGGGAGCGAGCCGCCTAGCCGGCGACACCGGTTCCCGTACATACAGTCTATGATCACCCTTCTAACCTTTTTCTGTGTTCTGTAAGCTCAAAAGCGCAGTGGGTAACATATTTGATATGGTAGACGTTTCGCAATGGTCTGTCATAGATGGTTAATTGGAATATACCGAGCTCTTCCGTACTTCGGAAAAAAAATGTGGTTATTCGTGGCTAATTCTGGCTAAGAGTCTCATCTATTAGATTTTTCTGTTGTCTCTAAAAGATATTTTTTGTTACTTCTTTCCTTTAGGACCTTAACTCTTTAGAAAGAGTGAAATTAATGGTGCAGACGATACATCTTTTTTTTTTTGTATAGGGGGCATACGAGCAGACGGCTCACCTGATGGTAAGTGATTACCGTCGCCCATGAACACTTGCAACACCAGGAGTATCACAAATGCGATGCCGGCCTTTAAAGAAGGAGTACGCTCTTTTTTTGAAGGTTTTTGGGTCGTATTGGTCCGGAAACACTGCTGGCGACAATATATTCCACAGTTTTGTCGTACGTGGTAAAAAATTTCGACAAAAACGAACGGTTGTGGATAGCCACGCATCAATATGATGGGGATGAAATTTTTGTCGCGATGTACGATGGCGAAATGCAGCAGCTGGAATTAATCCGAACAATTCCTCAGAACACTCCCCGTGATAAATGCGATAGAAGATGCAGAGCGAAGCTACATCCCTACGCAAAGCCAAAGGATCAAGCTGATCGGAAAGGTCCTGGTCGTCGACGATTCGAGCCGCTCCGCGCTGGATGCGATCTAAAGGGAGAAGCTGGTACTGGGGTGCCCCCGCCCAAAGATGAGAGCAGTACTCCATGTGAGGCCGAACGTGCGCCTTATAAAGTTGCAGTCGCCTAACCAAACGATAATCGTTTTTAACCTATACAAACGATTATCGTTTCATCTCTCACACTGATCTGCTCAATCCACTCTTTATCACTATTGCAAAGACTCACCTCAAATACAGGCACTACGTCCATGTGGGAGTTAAGAAGGATACTGGGCAGCGCTGGCTGGGTCCCTTCCCAGGTCATCACCAGCACTGGTTTCCTGGGCACAGGCTCGAACACTTGCACGGGTAGACCGAGCTGTGCGGCCTGCCCGCGGAGGTAGGCGATACATTCATCTAAGCCAACAACTTTTTGTGAACAACCTTTTAAGTTTGTTAGCGGACTCTTCATTTTTATTGAATTTTCATACCAATCATGATTTCGGCTGATTCTGACAATGTGTGTGTGTCTGTGTTTGTGTTATAGATGAATGTTTTTAACGATTTTGATAATAATATTTCTGAAAAGAATTTTACTAGAAAAATTCCACGCGGACCAGGCAGCAGACGGAACTCGAACCCGCATTTACGCAAGGCACTTTCTTATGCAAGGCAGCGCCATCGCTTCGCATTGTTAGTAACTCACAATGACAAATGAATACCTTTACAAGTATTAAACATTTGAAAGAAGAAATAGCAATTATAGTTACAGTCGGACCACGATAAGTCAGCAAAAAGCAAAAAATTAAACTTTGCACATGGCAGTACTGAATTATAGTTAAATAAACTTTCCCTGATACTTTATTATTAACCGACTTCAAAAGCAGGAGGTTCTTAATTATATATATATATACTAGCTGACCCAGCGAACTTCGTAATGCCATAAAAAAAAATTTATTAATAAAACATTGTCCAGCGGACAAAATTGTGAATCTAAACCATTCTCAGATCCTCTTGAACACACACAAAAAATTTCATCAAAATCGGTCCAGTCGTTTAAGAGAAGTTCAGTGACATACACACTCACAGAAGAATTATATATATAAAGATATATATATTATTATATAAATTGTGTTCGCTCATTTATGGGCCGATTTCGATGATTCAGTTTTAGGGCTCCGTACTAAAAGAGTAAAAACGAAGCTGACATTCTCTCGTCTGTCTTTCTGTATGCCACGGGTCTATAGATCGTAAACGGAATGAGTTACAAAACAAAGCCGAATTTTTAGTTCAAAGTTCAATTACATTATTTTTAATGGGGGTATCATACATGTGATACGTCATTGTCTACGGCTCGTTGAGTAGGTTATGAATGTTGTTACGTATCGGGATGGGGTTCGAAATTGTAATGCCATTTCACACTAGACAGTTCAACTGAACTGTTCCTGCCCGGAGCCAAGCGCCCTTAGAAAAGGGTAGCTGTGAAATTTGACATTTTTAAATAATTTTTGCTACGTGTAGTTTTTAGCAATGCATGCTCCTGTTGATGAATTTTAAAGCAGAGAAAAAGAAGTTTGTACGTATAGTAATTTTCGCTAAGAGAAGAGTTAGACGCGAGCTAGAATAGATCAAACTATCTCTGTCTACGGCGTGACGGAGTGTGTAAAAAAAGAGATAAATTTTTGCTCTTATGAAATAGTCTTGGCCCAATCTTTCTATTCAATCCATATGCTAACATTATTAGGCTTAATTATAGGGTTCCTCTATTACCATAAGGGTTAAAAGGCCTATTACAAAAAATATTCACAAAAATCGGCGAAAATAAATCTTATACAAGTTGCTTGTTTATACGTTTGAAAGACGATTTTCGAACCGATTACCGTTTATTTTTATAGAAACATCCAGGTATATGTGGACATCAACAAAATACATACAAAAACTACAGCGATATTTATGGATACGTACCATAATTGATGTTCGGATGAACAGAGCGTATTCTCAAGTAATTTCTGAGGTTGGTCACAGCTGGATCTTTCTCATAGTCCACAGTTAATTTGCTAGCAGCAACAGACAAACAAATAAACAACACACGCACGACAAAACGCGAAGATACATACTTGTACAGCATTTTATTTATATGACATTAATTATTTTAAAAAAGATAAGCATTAAGAGACTACTTACGCTAGCAACGAACTATTACTTACTGACATTACTAACTTGAACTTGATCACTCAAGAACCGAGGAAATAAAGTATTGTTATCGATTCCAAATTAACATAATGTTTATTATAAACACTTTGCCAAGCAACACACCAACATAAGACGCTTTGTTATGCAAGAAGCTTTGACCGGCAACATATAATGACTGATAAGAATTTAACAGCTATATACAAATAAGTACTTAGTAGTATCTTCCATTACGATAATACTGGTTTCGTCATTAAAATAATTTATTATGAACAGCTAACTTTATTTAATAATGAGGCACTTAGGAATAAACTCTTTTCGAAAAAATATTTGATTGAAAAAAAATTTAAATAGGTCAATCAGCTTAAATGAATGAATGAATGAAATACTTTCAAATAATGAATAACAAATATGTATGATGATGAAAAGCATGGGGGGAGGTCTGTAATGAATTTTTTTACATGCGAGATGAATTACTATCGGAAAAATCTAAAGAGCAGGGAAAATTAAAAAGAAAAATTAATGAGTGCTTTCTTTAGTAAATTCAATAGAAAACCGTACTGTTTTTAGTATTATCGAATTAAATTATTTATGTTTATGTAGATTTCGTTGTCTAGGAAGAGCATAATTAAGTAGCAAAACATTTTTTAAATTCTTTCGCAAATCTACGGCAAGACGTACGTATCTGTTTGGTGTCAACACTGTATACTGAAGTCGTTCAAATATTATCATGATGAGTACCTAATAGGCATCTACAGCCTTATATCCCCACTGCTGGGGTAAAGCTCTTCCCTATAGATATAGGGAGATTAGGCCATGACCCACTACGCGGGACCAGTGCGGAGTGGTGGGTGCTAACGACTGTAGGTGCAGCCGGCACCAAGGGCTTAGCGTGCCTTCCTAAGCACGAAGGAGCACGAAATAGTAAATTTTTGGTCATCCATCCAATGTCCATCCACTGTCCATCCACTGTGAATGTTGCTTAACTTCAACTATCGCAGCCAAAGCGCAAAGCATTTGCGCCATTCAACGCCTTATTACAGCAAAAGCAACGTATTTTTTATATACAACTAAAGTATTTTAATGTCGTTAGGGCCAAAGAAATTGATAACAATTTTCGGCAATTATGCACAAGTCAGGATGGCCGAGCGGTCTAAGGCGCTGCGTTCAGGTCGCAGTCCACTTCTGTGGGCGTGGGTTCGAATCCCACTTCTGACAAGACTTTTTGATGAACATGTATTTATTGTATGCTACATAATAAAGTAAAAAAGGGCGCTTGTTAACGAGACGGTTTTCCGCCGGACTCTAAGCACACTTTTTAACCGTGTCTACGTCCGGCCGTCAGTTAGGTATGTCACTCCACCGCACCCATTTATTAAACGGTATGCCTTGATTCCAAATAATAAGATCTTTGATGTGGTAAAAAAATACTCCGCTCCAGCCATCCTCATTTTGCAATACTCCAATGACGTATAATATATAGACAGGTTATGCGCCAACATTTTTGCATTTTAAAATGGCACAAGTAGTCCCTGCCCCAACTTCCCTTAGCAATGGCCGCCAATAGAGAGCACTAAAGTAGTAACTCTTTCACTCATCATGGCATGGGACTATGCATAAAGCAGATTACATCTCGCTCTATAGCCTCCGCGTGTCAACGGTGTCAGCAACTGTCAAAATTAGTAATCACTAAATATTTTTACATTAATTCCTTTAACATTGTACTTACGAATGAAATGGCACGATTGTCTTGTGTAGTTTCCGTATAACTATCTAAAAACAATAATCACCGACATTAAAAACAATAGCGACTTAAAGTCTCCTGTATTAATGTATCTGCCCTAAAGTGGAAATTCCTTTCATAGCACCCACCAATGCCGAACGCTCTGATTCTAGCGGAAAATCCATTATCAATTTTTTTCGCTGCGGAAAATTACTAGAGTCGTAAATATTTAGTTTGCGAGATGCCTTAATAATTTTTCCCCGTTGTTAGTAGGAGAGTTGTGTCACAAATATAGAAATAAAAGTTGCTCGCATTGGCATGTTTGCACATTATAGAATTTTCACATTATTGTGTAACCATAGTTGACGATCAACCTATTGACATCATTAAAAATTAAAACATTATTAATACTTGGTGTGTTGAAAATAAACATAGTTGTGTAGGTACTTCAATAACATTGTTTAAGTATCATATCAAGCGGTGGTGTGGCTGATAAGTAAATATGAGGTCAGAGCACATCCTCGGTTCAATCTACTAATTGTCTCTGCGTACACTTAACATCAGGTGGGTAGCAATAGTTTGACGGATAAACACATTGTTATAAAAAATATCTTCAACAAATATAAATAAACGACAGACACCGAGTAAATAAAACATAGTCATGGTCATATATAAATACAGTCCCATGCTGGACTAGGACTGAAAGGAAGACATAAATTGCGGCAGCTGCTAACATTTCCGCTCAGATAGCAAAAGCCTATGCTAATCAGGCGGATGCGAGCGTGTGGTTAATCAGTCGGATGGCGGATGTTTGAGAGCGGCCAGGATGCACTGTGTCCTGAGCAGACATAACCTACGAGGCCACGAATTTCTCTCCCAAACCAAAACAACCCATACCAAATAAGCTGTAACCATCGTTGAAGTTTGGATATGGGAGTATCCTTTATAATCGAGCGATGAGATTAACTAATGTCTTGAGCAGTGCTGTTCTATAAGACAAACTCTCTGTACCACGGCGAGTGTTCTGAGGAGTTATTCTCTATTATTCCACCTTCCCCTTTCCTGCAGAGGATCACGCGCACTGGCTTACGTTGTCACCGTCTAACAGTGGCAACAATTCCAACGCGTACAAAGAAATTTGGTGACCCATTTCTTTGTCGTACTATCCGTAAATGGAATGCTCTGCCCGCTCACGTGTTCCCTCCCTCTTACAACCTTCCTCCTTTAAAAGAGGCGTGAAGAAGCAACATGCAGGCCGGCAGGGTGAGGATGGCTGGTGTGACAGGTAGAACTGCTGTATCAGCTATCTTCGCGTCTGGACTTCACCTTCACTTAACATCTGGTGGGGTGGTCATTTGTTGGACCCATCTATATAAAAAAAAAACTCAATTTATCGTGGAATCCGCGGTGTGGTATAAAATTAGGACACGAATTAAAAAAAATCGCAGCGGCCGATTGGGCAGTGAAAAGTGAGTTTGTTCTTACAGAATAGCACTGAGGGTACTGCTGCGGTTGCCGCGATATTGCAGTCAAAAAAAAATGGGGTTTATTGCTCCGGCGAGTGCGAGGAGAGGATTTAGTTGATCGTGGACTCACTGATTACAAAAAATAGAAGAAAGGGTTCCATCCGTTTTTAATATAATTATTAACATAGAATTGAGTTTCCCCGTGCTTCGGAAGGCACGCTAAGCCGTTATCCCCGACTGCATCTGCAGTAGTTAACACCCACCAATGCCGCACTGGGCACGCGTGGTGGGCCATACCCTAATCTCCCTATTCCATCCATAGGGAAGGTCTGTGCCTCAGTGGGGACATTAATAGGCTGACGATGATGATGATAAATTGAGTTTTTGTATACTAAGTCATGGATCTATGCTGTCCGAAGAATAAATAGAATTTGGTACAGACTATAATGTTAGTAGCACGCCACAAGCGTAACCCACAGCACCTAGGCTAGCAAAGTGCAGCCTATTGCACTCATGGCTAAGCCAACAGTTGTGGCCGGGAAAATAAGACTTATTAAAGCTGGGCTGCGGTCGGAAAAAATCAGTAGCATTGTAAAAAATAAAATTAATTTAATGGATAATAAATAAAATATTGATAAGCGTGGGATGCGATACAAAAGAGTAATTCTTATTATTAGTAGTACTGTAATACTAACCATTTTGGTACTGCAGGTAAATAAATTAACTCGAGTTTTTCATTTCGTGACCCGTTTTCAGCGCCTAAATGTTACACGCGACATTACCTTTACCATACCACTGCCACAGTAAGATATTATAACAGAGCATTGCATACAAATAGAATGGTTTAATATTTTTTTGAATAAATACAATCACGCCTTTACAAGCCTTTGACACACACCGACTTTTGTAATTTTACATGATGAAATTTGATAAAGAGATAGTTTCAGTCCCGGGAAAGGACATAGAATAGTAGATATAGCCTGGAAAGAAAACCGGGCCAAGTGCGAGTTGGACTCGCGCACAAAAAACGGGGAACCCCCTCCCCTCCACTCTTAAATGTTTATTTTATTTAGATTTAATTATTTATTATTAAAGTGAATATACAACAAAATATTATGTGAATATTTCAAGCGTCGACTATTAGTATCGAGTACAAAACGGGAAAAAAATACGTTTTAAATATTTATCTGTTTTTAGTATTTGTTGTTATAGCGGCAACAGAAATAAATTATCTGTGAAAACTTTTAACTGTCTCGCGTTGTTACCCTTTTGGTATTGAACCCTAAAATTTATCAAAATATTGCACTTTCAAACAAAGCATGAAAACAAAAATTATCAGCATAGAGGCCACGAAATGATTTATAATGCAACGACCGTCACCTGCAGAGCTATTCCGTAAAATTTTCACTATATAGATAGATATAGATTCGCGCGTGAAAATTTTACAGAACAGGCCCGCTGAAAAGGGCTTTGTATTAAACTTTTTGTTATGTGTTCAGGGCCGGGGTCTCGTTTTGTTTGTTATATTGTCGTAATAAGTTGACGTTAATCTGGAGCTGACAGCCTCAGGTTGTGTCTCGGGCTTAGAAAATACGCCTTTGACTTTCTGAATGTAAGTAGGTAGGTACTTCATTTGAGTTTAATACGAACATATCAAATATTATAACGAACTTAGGTACTTATTACTCAGCAAAGTTAAGATAAACATTCATCTTTAGAAAAGATAAATAAATATTTCGAACACTCACACCAATTAGCCTAGCCCCAAAGTAAGCACTGTAAGGCTTGTGTTATGGGATGCTAGTGTAACGGAAAGAATACATATACTGTACATATATAAGTATAAGCATATAGAAATATATATTAAACATCCATGACTGGAGTACAAATGCTCGCATTCATCATACAAACATCTACCCTCACCGGGATTCCAACCCGGGACCTTTCGAGTCGGTGACACCATGAAACCTGGCGTACAAACCACTCGGCCACGGAGGTCGTCAATCAGATAATTTAAAAAGTGTTTTAGAAAATGTGATCTGTTTGATAAAGAAGATTTCTTTGTTCTTTTGATATTAACCGGCCAGTGGTAAGCTTATTATTATTGAAGTGAAACTTCTTTAGGTACGCTTGACTTAGGTGGTAAACCGAAAGTTGCGAATATGTTACGGTTTTGCGTTACGATTAGTGTCATCGGTGACTCATCGGTAAACAATGAACAATACCCGTCACAAAATACATGAATCTAGTGCTTGGTGGGTGATAACGGATCCAGCGCCAATGGGTGGGTGATAACGAACCCAGCGCGGATTGGTGAGTGATAATGGACCCAGTGCGGATTGGAGGGTAATAATGGACCCAGCGCGGATTGGTGTTTTTTTTTCTATCAACAAATCTTCAAGTTAAATTTATGATTTTTAAAAGAAGTTGGAGGTAAAGAAGTTTCACATCAGTCGTGTGGTCATAAGCACACTTGCTTTTTTTTTTAAAAGTGA